TCTTCAGCGGATCAATTTTCTCTTAGTGGTTATAATCAAAATACATATATATCTATTGGCATTTCCCTTTATCTAACTTCCTAGAATGAACTTTTCCTTCAGCTGATACATTTTAAATATGGTAGAATTGATTAATATTGATTGTTCTAAGATCTTTACAACTATCCAACAGTATCGAATGATTTCATCATTCATACGTTCAAGACTTAAATCTTTATTCAGTACATCCTTTCTTTTTTGTTATTCATCCTACGGGATTCATTCGGAATATATCATTCTTTTAGCAAATTTATTATCGAAAACAACCACACTTCCAAGTTCGAATAAATTTTGAAACAGTAACAAATGCCTGAACTTATTTAAAAATCCTAAAAAAAATAAACCCTAAAAGCTGCTAACCATTGCTACCTGATATGGTCTTTGTAAAAGAATAGAATATACACAATTATGTTTTTTAATAATGTATATGAATCTATTGATCAGTCATGATACGAGAAGAACAATAATAAATAGGGAGAAGATATTGCATTTCATTTCATTGAAGTGGAATAATGTCACTTCTAGTAGCATGACTTTTTTTTTTAGAATATTGTTTTCATAATTGCTGGTTATACAAGAGTATCAATTACATTAGCTTATTGTACATATGTTTTAATTACAAAGCTAGATGTTCGAGAAAAACTTATTTCTGAAATTAATAGAAATGTATCAGACGATATTGATAAAGAACGTATCGATGACGTTGAAACAAATCTTACCTATTTGGATATGTTTGTATGAGAAGTTCGTTGAATGTATCCTATAACTACCAAATCAATGACTTGTGAATGTAATACAACGACAACTGTCTGTGGACACATTATTAAGAAAGGTTTATTTGAGAGAGAGAGAATAGTTGTAGCACTAAACAATAGTATTAATATTATTCTTTTATTGTAGGATGTATATTATTCAATCTGATATTTCTAGTATTCATCATAATCTAGATTTGTGAAGTCTTGAAGATTCAAATCTTGTTCTACCTGATCGACATCAAATAAAACGTCATTCAGTTACTTGGATGTCATTTGGTATTGGTCCAATAAATTGCGTTCTTATAAAATTTGCTTTAATGGAAGTAAAGATTTGTCTAATTTGATTACTTTATCAATATCGAATATTAGCTGAAAGTATACTCGAACACGGATTCAAATGGAAAGACACACTTGTAATTCAATCCTACGCTATATTTATCATAGTCGAGAAATATTGAATTAGAAATAAGCATGATTTAATGTGCTGTGATAATGTAGACAAGACAAGAACAAAAGAATTTTCATTTTACGTCTAGTATTAGTATTTCTTCTTTTTTGGTTTTTGTTTTCTTTATTTTTATAATTCGAGAGTTTTATTTCGAATCCGTTTATGGACGAATAACAAAAAAACATTATATGTCAAACATCTCTCAATTTTCCTATTGAACATTTGAAACTAAGTGTTATGCGTCATTGATTTAAATTGTGAAAAGAACAATTCTATATGAAACAAAGCAATTAGATCGCTGTGTTTAACTATTGTTTTAATCTAGAGTTGTAATCATATGTGATTTTTTTTCTATGTAAAATAATGCGTTTTTTAACATAACACAATTGAAAATTTTTGCTTCTTGTGTTTCTAAAAAAGACAATGAGAATATTTCCTTTCACAAGCATTCTCGAAGTTTATTTTCAGATGAAACCGGTCTTTTTACTATTGACTAATATCCAATTGATCGAAGCTATTCTGTAGTAAATTTCGTATTGGTACAGATTGATAGCGTTTCATATGAAATAATCGAAATTTTCGTTTGTTCGTGTGTTAGTAATAAAATAATAGAATAAGATTTATGGTTGTTTAAATTAGTACATTTTCCTCTATCTACATTTTTGAGAATATATATATATATATATATATTTAACAAAAACCGACATTATTTTATTGACTTTTCATTTACATCTATGCATAAGCATTTATTTGTAATGAATGTGATCTAATATTTGCAGTTGCTGTTCTGGTCACCATTGTTGTTATATGAGATAAGAGTTAAGTACACGTTTGTTTTGCAATCAAACAAGAGCAGGTAGACAAGTTGTTGACTGACAGGAGTGAAAAGGGGGATATATGGCCATAGTATGTTTTAATTCTTAGTGAATTAAATGCGGATGTGTAAGGAATATAAAATTTAAAATAAATAAAAAGTTCAATAATGATATATGACACTCAGCACTTCGTCTATTTCTATATGTTAAACAACGATATGTTTCTTCTATTGTCTAGGAAATATTAAGTACAACATAATTCATTTGCTTATATACCAATTAATGTAGTCGTTAAGAAATTGTGTCTGTACAAGATATACTTCGATTGAATTTAAAATATCTTTAGTTCGACTTTTTCGTTGATATACGATCTTGTCTAAAGCTGAGTTTGTAAAACGTATAAAATTATATATAATAAATGTTCTTCAATCAGATGTTATATAAAATAACCGTGAAAAAGGCTTAGTTGAAATAATTCAGTTTTATCAAATGAAAAAGGAAAACTGGATAGCACCATTATAGTCTTTTATTTAGTATTACATAATATATCTATGACTGAGTCGTAAAGAAAACTATTACTTAATGTATAAATGTCAGAATGCATTCAATCATGATTCCCTACTATTTTTTCTTGATGACAGCACGTGTGTTTCTTTATAATTCTTTTTTTAAAATATTTATCATGTTCACATCATAGAAAAGCATACTCATGACATAATAATATGCAAAAAGGAAGTAGAACGTAGAAGAATTTCAAATTTTAATTAGAAGAACTATTCCATAATTAAGATAAATTAAAGAAAATTTGCTAATACTATATATCTATTAAAGGGCTATGTAATAAATTGTATTCTGATCAGTCTTGCCTTATAATAAATATTACTGCCGTCTATTTGCTTCCTCTATTGAATAATCAAAGTGAAGTGTATTATTCATGTTGTTTCTTGTTCGTATAATACTAATGTGAAATAAATTATATTAAAGAATTACGATTGTTGGATCTCTATATTTAATGATTTTCAAAGGTTAATTGATATTATATCTATCATCATTGATCGAACAGTATTAAATATGTTTTCATAATTTTCATATCAAATGAAAGTAAAATCAACGAATAATATTTTTCTATTCATACATAATTGCATGATGATTACTATTCATTGATATTTGAAATCTATTGATGTATATGAATACGAATGCTATTCATCAATTGTCTAAAACTTTATATATAAGAACGAAACAAAAAAAAATCAATCTATTTGTACACTATAATTTATAACATATTTTATTACTATGAGTATTTATCACAAGGTCTGATGTCACATGTCTAAGGTTGTGTTCTTGATAATCGATTTATTTAGATGATTATATATTGAAAAACAAGTAAATTTGTTCGTAAATTCGAATAATAAACGATTTAAAGATAAATGATGCAATTTTTTCAATGAACTAATTTTTAGCAATATTTATCATTTTTGTGTGAATGATGTTTTAAGTCGAATCTTTCCTAGTTAATTTTAGTGCATGTAAATTTTGTTGCATGATTGTATTGAAATATTGATAAAAACCTTATTATGTTAACTTTAAAAGACTTACGAAATTTTAATTATGTTAATGTCAAATACTTTTTAATTCCTATTGTTCAAGTTTACATATTTATTATCCATGAAAATATGCAGAATAATATTGCTATTCTTGTTACTGTATGTTTTTAAAATATTTTTGATCTGTACTTGTGTGTTTATGATTTTACAAAAAAATGAGATTCATTCCTTTGTCATTTTGATGAAGTTAGCAATCATCAAATGACATCAACATCAAAAAAACGTATCAATTCGTTATGATTGATACTTGTTGCCTTTCTTTTTTTATATTGATATCAATACTTGATTTAATTATCATGTGCAATAAAATATATTGAAAGAAATTTAAGAACAAAAGGATAAAGTTTTATTGCTCAATGTCTTATGTACTGTTCAAGTTGCAATTAATCTATTTTACTTCATTATAATTGTCTACAATATGAGATGAAGTATATTGACCTCTTGTAAATAAATAGTGATTGACAAGTCATATAGTCAACAGACATATCATCAATTCACGATTAATACAATATCAATAATGAACGTGTTTATGGTTCAATTCAATTCAATGGATATATTCTCTTACCATTGAACATCATATAGTAAAATATCGTTTTGTTGTTTCTCTTAAGTTTGTTATTATTGATTTTTTTTCAACAGAATCTTCTGTTTTTTTTTCTTTTGAGTATAGAAATATTCTACAGCAACAAGAGTATACATAATGTGATTCATATAGCTAGAAGTAAAATTCAAAAACATCGCTTGTACACATCTTTTGTTTGAAGTAGACTTGACTAGACTATCGAATTGTTTCTTTTCAATGGAATTTATTCAATAATACCTTATCCTTCGATACATACACACAGTCGGTCATATGCATTCTTCCATTCAACGGTGAACTTTTGACCAATTTTTCTTTCTCTTTGTAATTTTTCTCTTGTTCTTACGTTCTCATCTATAGACCGGTGTCCTACAGTTGTAATACGCACTGACTCAACCTTTTTTTTTCCTCATTTTTGCCATCGTTCTTTTTTATTCATCAGTCTTTTATATAAACATTACAAGCATTTAATATTCTTTTTATTACTCAATATCGAATCTGAAAACTTAACATTAATATAAAATGTATCGAACCAATTTCATCTTTCTGCTCTTGTTGATTAGTGTGTCTAGTAGTTTTATTGAAACAACATTCAATTCTTCAATATCGACAACATCATCAATGTTGACAAGTCAAGATTTGTTATTATCATGTAGCTATTGTCAAACAATGGCATGTCGTTGTTCTTCAATGAAAAAAATTTTAAATTGTTCATCTTATTTACTAAATATATCATATTCATCGAATTGTACAAACAATATGATAATATGGGAAACAGTGGATTTTTCATCACGTAATTTTGAATCATTTGATTCAACAAAACTTTTATCATTACGTATGTATCGTTTATTATTAAAATCAAATTTAATTACAACTATTCATGAAAATACATTTGATACAATTGGTAATATTCTTATTGAACTTGATTTACAAATGAATCAATTATCATATATATCATCAAAATGGTTTAATTCAAAATTAAATCAATTAAAAATATTAAATTTAGCATCAAATCACCTTGAATCTTTCCCAGAACTTAATCATATTCATTTATCTTATTTACAAGAATTAAATTTATCATGGAATCAAATTGAAATATTTCCATATCAAATTCATCAATGGAAATCATTGATTAAACTTGATTTATCATTTAATAAATTATCAAGTGTACCAAGATATGCTCTAATGGGTCTTCATAATTTAACATGGTTATCATTAGCATCAAATCGTAATTTAAGTTGTAAGTAGATTAATAATCGATGAGTCATACATAACTCAATGCTTTCTTCCCAAAGAAATACAGTATTGAAGTTTCTGCAAGACGTCTATTGAATGTTTTCGGTAGAAAGTTAAGAAGAAAAATTAAGTAAAGATTACTAAATATGTTTAAAACAATAGATTTTCTAGAGATGACAGAGCAAAAGTAGAGATGTTATTGAGCATTCTGAAGTATACTCTTTCTCATGATATAGATCAAAGATTGTTCATATCAAAGTGAATATCGAAGAAAAAAAACAACTTTTTAAAATAAATTTCTCTTTTACATCTAGTACAATAATAGTAATTCGCTTAAATAAAGAAAACTAGAGCGAAGCTATTGAAATTTCAAGTTTAAATAGCTGAGTTGGCGAAAGCATGCAATACTGAGAAAATTAATGCAAGCCTTCAGATCGGATCTAACATTCATTTACATCATATATTAGCTGTTAGAACATTTTTCAAGGTCAATAAATTATTTCTATTCGTTTCATCTAAATAGTAAAAATAAAATAGCTATAGTAAAAATGTCAAGAGTGTTATTATTTACAGCACACACTTTGTTAATAGTTGAAAGATAATATTACTTTTAAATAAATTATTTAATGAGAAATATACAAAGTTATATTAAATTTGTTAAACATAGGTATTATTCAAGATTCATTTAAATATCTTAAATCATTAAAATATCTTGATTTATCAAGTACAAATTTATTTGATGTTGATGGATGTATATTTATTCAATTGACGGGTTTACGTACACTTAAAATTGAACGTGTTTCAATTAATTGTTCATCTTGTTGGCTTCCTATAGCAAAAAAAAATTCAATTATATTATTTGGACAATGTCTTAATAATATAACAATACAACGACTTGATTCATTAACTAATGAACAATTACATTATTCATGTTCAAAATCATCTATTGATTGTTCATTAGATTATTGTGAACCAGGTTCATTTAATTTTGAATATAAGTCTTTTTCATTTGATAAATTATCAGATTTAACTAAAAATTCTAATACATCAAAAAATCAAACAATCAAAATAATTCTTAGTATTATATTTAGTATAATTGCATTTATTATAATTATTCTATTAATAATATTAATTTATCGATGGAAACAAGGTAAAAATTTAATATGTTGTCAGTTTCTATCAACAACAACATCAACAATGACTGAAATAACAAGACGTCATCGTCGTCAACATCAAAAACAAATCATTAATAAAAATCCAACTGTAATCGAATCTATTATTACACATGGTGCAAATATGAATGTACCACCATATCCACATCATAATAATGAATATTCAACGGAAGCAACTTCAAATAATAAACGAAAACTTTATAATCCTATGTTTATGAATTCTCCAAAATCAGACACAAGATATCATCAATCAACAATAGTATCAAATGACAATTGTTCTCATAGCAATCAAATGTATTCTGAAAATCTATGAAATAAAAAACAATTGAGAAAAGAAAAAAACTAAAAATAAAAAGTCTGAATGTATGCATAAGCCTCGAATATGTAATCTCATTTGTGTGAATGTAAAGGTACATAAAAATATGTTATGCTTTGTTTTTCATTTTAATGGAATGTATTTTGAAAAAAGAAAAAGAAAAAGAAAAAGACGAAGACAAATAGTTAACTTAAATAATAAAGCATTTTATAGGTATAAACAACAAGCAACACAACATTAAAAAACTGTAAGAGAATCAGATATTTTTATCTGTTAATTGAATTATTTATGATCAAAATTGTTTTTCTTTCCTCGAACGTTCAACTTATTCTTTGTTCTTTTTCTAATAGGAAAAATCAAAAGAAAAAAAAACCATTTAATATAGAACAATAATGGCTTCAATCATTCTCTCTTGTGTATCCAATAAAGAGCTCCCTATTTGACGCTTTAGTTTTTCTTTTTTAACTACATGCAGAGACGTTTGATGTTTCTATGGAAAATGATTTTGTAATTTTAAAACGGTTATATATATATATATTTCTTTTAATTATACATTAATTTTATAATGTCAAAATGAAGTATTCTAATTCACATTCTCGCTCTCCGAAATGAGATGCACTTCAAAAAGACTATTATTATAAATTCATAAGAATAAAAAATATATACTTTCTTTTTCATATAGTTAAAACAATCGATCAAATATGTCAGCACGATACAACCTCAATACAGATCATTGGAGTAAAATGCGAATGAATGTAAGATATATAATATTTATTTTTATTTATTTTAATAATATATCATCTTTAAAAAGATTATAAAAAACACTATTAATATTGAACAACGTGGACGTGTCTGTAGTTGGCAAAAACATCAAAAAACAGATATACAACATGAATTAGAAGCAGCTATTCATGGTGATCGTAATTTACCACAAAATAAAGTTGGAATAGTACATAATTTTCAAGATATCTTTACACTAGAACTTGATGGATATGTCCCTGGAACAGCATATCTTCGTCGACGAACCGATCAAAACATAGAATCTCTAAATGGACAATCGAAAAAAATTATACAATGTAAGTTGATTTTAGTTTAGAGATGTTCAGCAGAAGATAACAAACCTATATTCATTTAATTTTGCAATTCGATAAAAGTTTTTTTTTTTCTTTAAAAATTATTTTTTTTTGCCAACAGTTAAAAAATTGAACTATGTAGTGAATTTTTATTATTGAATGATTCTTTCTGTGATCATAAAAAGCTTAAGCTTATAGCAATTATTTTTAAATATCAATTATCAGTTAAAAAAAATGTGAGGTTTTCATATTTCTGATTCAATTTTATTTTTTTTTTGCAATGTATGAATAGAACACAAAGTCAATTTTTGAATAATAACAGTCTCTTTCATAGTGTTTCTTTCTCATGACACACTACGTGAATATAGTATGTACATGAAATAATCTATCAAATAGAATTAATTATTGACTAGATCTAGAAAAGTTACGTGCGGATACTTGAGTACTAGGACAGGACATATGATCGTCGAACAAGTTCGATCTTAGTTTTTCAACAGATGATATTAATTCAAATAATAAACTCAATTATTCAAGTATCAATCGAACTAACCGATTGAGTTCGTCATGTACGACTTGATAGTGGATGTGAATGAAGATAAGACTCATCCATTGTAAATATATCTACATACCACCTTCTATGTTTAAACATCATTAACACTAGATCATGCAGTCAACCATTAAAGCAAAAAACAAGCCTATCAGTAAAAAGCTACAAAATTTGATTAAAAATCTACCCTATAAATTCTCTTTTTACTTCTATTTGTATTCTTGTTCAATGTTTTCTGTTTCTAATCGATTTCGTTATGTAATCTTGCAATAACATCTAAATAGTATATATGCATTATTTTTCATTATGTTTTCCTCAAAAGTTTCTTCAGCGAGGATACGTTCTAGAGTGGAAGCGTTGAAACGAACTATTGTCCGGCTCCCTATTGACTACATGATTAAGCCCCTACTTGTGTACACTAATCTTGTATTATTGAAAAGAAAAAGAATGCAAATAAGTTCGTTTAATATAAGCTATTACAAGAGTATTAAGACATGATTAAAAAGCTACTTCATGAGTAGTCTTTCTTTTGTACGCAACATTTATTTTATCCATCACACTCAAACATTCACTATTGTTATATTGACAAACAAGAAAAAAAAGTATTCTTTGAATGGAAACTTTTAGATCATCGATCATAATCAACAAGTAAAATCTAAGTATATCAATGAATTGAAATCTTAGTGCTTAACTAATGATATGCATATCGAATGAGGAAATGTCGATATATATTAACATCAAACTGTCTTAATAAATATCGTACAATCACATTCACTTTATCCTCAACTATGTTTTACATTGATAGTTAATCATGTTTTTCTTTTTGAAGATCGAGATCCATTACTGACTGGTTCTCAATATACTCTTATGACATTACCAACTGATCCTCAAAGTGATCAAACAAGAAGTCGTGTACCTGTATTACAATGTCGTGGAAAAATTTAATTTTTATATCAATTAAGACACATATACAAAAAGTAAACAGACAAATGAAAAAAAAAACAAAGAGAATCTAATAAGTCCCTATTTTGTATGTAGAGAACAAATGAACTATATATATTTATTAATAAAGAAAATCATCTAAATCTCTTGATGGTTGTAAACCATTTGCAAGTGAATAACGAATATTCCAACGAAGTGCTGAACGTTTTTTAGTTGTTGGTACGATATAATTATTTACGCGTGGAGTAGATTTTCTCTAGAGAAAATATTTTTATTTAAAATCAAATTAAATCTGGAAAAAATTTACTTTAACAGGCACATCTTTTTGTAAAAGTTGATCTCGTATAGCCCATCGTAAACTTTGATGTGATTTTTCTCCAGGTGCTCGTTGTGATGCCCATTGTTGTCGATAATATGAATAAAGCTGAACTGAATCTATATGATTATTTGAAAAACTACGAGAACGACGAAGAGATGCAGTTGTTGCTGTTGATGGACGAATAACTATTTATTTAAGAAAATAAAAATTTCAATATTTTTATTTTCCTTAACTTACATGATTTTACTGGTTGAATTGATAATGTTGATCGAGTCTAATGAAAAGAAATGTTTAAAAAGAAAAATACTAAGATTAGTATACAAATGTATTACATCATCACTATAGGTTGATTGATTATCAATATCTGATGCAGATTCGATTCGTCGACGTCCTCGTTTATGTTGATTATGAAGATCATTTAAATAGCTTACATCACGTGAATCAAGTACAGAACCTGTTTCTAAAAAAAAAAAAGAAATAATAGATCGAAATTTTTCAAATAATCTAACCTGATCTTGATTCATCACATACAGTTGCTTTACCATTATAATGTCTTAAAGAAATAAAGGAAAGAAAGCATACTTATTTTTTGACTCTTTCTAAAAAAAAAAATTGGTTTTGTTTTTTTACTAACCGAAGAACTTTTCGTTTAATTATTCTTTGTGATGATGTTTCACTTCGATTATCATCTTCATTATTTTTTGGTCGATAATGAAAACTTGACATACTATATGAAAATATTAAAAGTATTCTACAAGAAAAATATTATTGAATTTACGTTGGTGTATTCGTTTCATCAAGACTTTCACTATTATCATCATTTTGTTCATTTCGATTATATTCATCATCTGATGGCATTGGTTGATGAATCTAAATAATATTAATATTTATTTAAAACAAAACAAAAAACAAAAAATTCAATTTAATTTAACTGTAAAATCAACATTAGATTGTTGTCGAGCAACAGATCTTCTTATTTCATGTGAATCTATTTAGAGGTGAATAGAAAATGATTGATGAATACTTAAATTTATTATAAATACCTTGATTTTTTTCATTACGTGCAAGTTCTTCTAAGTCATGTTGAAATTTTATAAGTGTTTGTTTTGATAAACTATCATAACCTAAACGAGCAAGTTCACGACGAATTTCTTCCAAAGAAAAAGTATTCGTTTCCATTGAAATAAATATATATATATATTCGATCTAAAGAAAATCAAATCAAAATTCCAATGAAAAAATGAAATGGTACAGACAGTTTCCATCGTAACGTACAATGTGCATGGAACATATCTTCACCAGTTAAAAGTAACCGATAATAAATTTAGTGCGACCTCTTTCAAAAGAAATTTTTCAACAGAAATTTTTTCTTTTAAAAAGCAATATGTTGAGAATATTCCATTTTATGGTATAATATATCAAATAAAAAGATGTTGACGTTATTTTATATGTATTTGAACTAGTTATATAATCCTTCAACACGTATAGAAGAGAAGAAGCTTATTATTTCTTATAATTCGTTTATCATAATAATATAAATGCATCATTACGGGAAATAGTTGCATTTTTTTTACATTAAATAACACTTATCTACCTTGACTAGTTCAAAAATTGTATTTTGTCGTAAAATAGTCATAAGATGAGTTGCATTTATCGAGGACATGAATTTTTCGTCTTGAATTCAGCAATGGATGTCATACTTAGTGTTTCTTTTAAAAAATTAATTCTTTCATCACGAACAATTCGATCAATATAACGGAATATTAGTATATTTATAATTGCATAATTGACTTTTATTTCTAATTTGACTGATTTCAACAGTAGATTAAACAAAATAGATAATCTTTTTCCAAAAAACGAAAAATAAAGTTTCATGTTTGAAGTGGGAGAAGAAAGCCGTTCTCTCTCGAGTGACTAGAATACGTAAATACAATAGCATCCGACAAAGTACGATCGTGATTCAGAAGTGAGCTTAGGAGGATGAATGCAGTCGCTGAGACAGTCAAAAACGGTACCGTATACTGTCGTTTCATACAGGTTGCGATCATAAATACGTGCAAATTGACGTTTGGTAGGTGCCGTATAACGACCATATTTTACCGTGCTGTATACAGTTGTTAACAGTCTAAGGATGGAATGACGGCGGAGAACTTTCTCATAAGCAGACGGACATACAACTTTCCTCCCCAAAAGCGGATTTTATTTGCTCAGAGATGACCATATATCACTGAGGAAATCACATTTAAGAAAATAAAAGCTCTAAATAAAAAATTTTTTTAGACGAGAGAAATCTGAGAGAGACTCATAGAATTTAAGCAGCTTAAAATTCACTCGAATAGTATATCTTTGAGAAACAAAGCAAAATAAGTTAAAATTGTAAACTGATGTATCAATTCAGCGATGAATATCGTTGAGAAATGTGCAAAAGAATAAGTGTATTTACTCTTTTCTTTGTAAGATTAAGATATTTAGAACTAAAAAGTTGCTATTCGCCTTCCTTCTCCTGGATTATTGAATATTGCTGCTGAATGGAAAAATATGTTTTGTTTTATTCTAAAAATTAATTTTGAAGCATTTCAAATTTCAATTCATTGTGTTAAAAAGTTTTAGGTTACTTTGTTTTCATTATCAAAGTATTCACATAAAATATTCAATCATTCGTCTAATTAAAGTATAATTCAACTGTCAAAGATAAACGGCAATGATCTCATAGATACATATATACCGTGTCAATGAAACAAAATTTAAGCATAGAAAATTTCTTCAAAATGTTTTTTTTCTAAGTTTCTATCGAAAACTATATAATACGGTGATATTTGGTTGACTTTGAAGCTAAATATCTATCCAGTATGGTTATGACGATCTCTTCTACAAGGGTATGCTAATACACTTCTTTGAAACGCTATTTAGTGTTTTGTATGAATAACTATAGTCAAGTGTCTTAACTAATTAGGGCCACTCGAGAGCAAGCTTTAGAAGTAAATATTTAGTTTTTTTCAATTTTTTGTCATTGGTAGCACAATGACATATTTGCATTGAGTTTTGACCCTGTGATTGAAAATTTTCATCTTCACATTCCTAATACAAAATTTCAAAGCGAATAAATATGTACTTTTATAGGTCACCCTCGAGTGGTTCAAATAAGGTAAGACACTAGACAGCTTTGTAAAGTTTTAGTTTGGCATATTCCTATAAGAGCGTTTGTCATAGTCATGTTGAACAAACTTTTAGCTTCAAAGTCAATCAAATATCACCCTAATATACATTTTTCGATAGAAAATCAAGAAAAAACACTTTGAAAAAAATCTACGAGCGAAAACAAACATGAGAGCTTATTTTTGTTTGAATAAATGATCTTTCTAATGCTTGACATTTTTTTTTCAGATTTTTTTAAATTTCTCACTTATAACATTGTCTAAAAAATTTTAAAATTATTTATTCGTGATCAGTACATTAAACACTACTGAACGGTGCATAAATAAGTATTTTGAAACATATGTTCAATTTTTAAATTATTAGAACCTTACCTCTTGATCATTTGAATATCTTAAACAAAAACTATTTCAATTTGCAAAATATGGAGATGTTTGCTCAAAATAGAATCGATTAATATATATATATTTATATCAGTAGTATAAATATTCATATAAATATTGAAATATATATACAATAAATAATTTATCGACTGCCTCTGCATCTTTTCACATACAAAGTAGAACCTTGAAAAATGTCTATCTCTTTTTTTTTCAATTATAATAATTGCTGGAAAACTACTTGTACATACAGACATCTATCGTATTCTTTGCCATCAATCTATTTGTTGCGATTGAATACAGTTGTTACTATAATCAGCAAAACAAACGATTTTTTAAAATTTCTTTCTTTGATATTATTAAAAGTAATTGTATCTCGAATCATTAAACTAAAAGGATATTTAAGATTTGGTCTCTTTCATCAAAACAAATCATGTCTTCAGAATACGAACGTAAATTAATTGATATGCAATATCAAATGCGTGAAAATAATTCATATTTAAATGATTATATGAAAGATTTAAATACATGGACAGATGAAATAAAACAAAAAGAAGAAAATTTAAAAAATTCAGCAAATACAACATCATCAATAATAAAAGATCTTCCACCAGTACGAAATTTTATTGAACCAACAAAACCAAAAAAAAAATCGAAAAAGAAAAATTCTTCAACAAAAACTTCTTCATCTATACGTTCATATGATTATCGTTCATGGGATAAATATGATGTTGATGCTGAATGTGAACGAATTGATAATGAACAAGTAGAAGATGATGATGAAAATGAAGATGATGATAATGATGAAGAAAATGAAGAATGGCAAGAACAAGTATTAAAAAAAAAAGCTGAATATTATAAAGATTGTGGTAATTATCAATTTAAACAAAAATCTTATTCACAAGCTATTGAATATTATACAAAAGCAATTGAATGTGATCCAACATGTGCAATTTATTTTGCTAATCGTGCTCAATGTCAATTATTTGAACAACGTTATGGTGCTTGTGAAGCTGATTGTACATTAGCTATACAAATTGATCAAAATTATTTAAAAGCTTATTATAGACGATCATTAGCACGTATTGAACTTAAAAAAATTGAACAAGCAAGAAAAGATTTAGAATATATTCTTATACATGAACCATTAAATAATGATGCAAAAAATAAATTAGATGAATTAAATAAAAATGATGAAATAAAACGTTTAGGAAGAATTTATCCATTATATGATAAACCAATTGATAAACGATCAACTAAACCATTAAAAAGAATTGAAATACAAGAAATTGATACATCAATTATTACAAATAGTGTAACAACAAAGAAAAAAACTATTGTTATTGAAGAAATGGATACAGTATAAATTTATTTATTATTTGTTATTAATTTTGATATTAATTAATCTAATTCTTTAGGATCTACCTTCTGCTGAACCAATTATTACACCGTCACCATCGTCGCCTACTCCTCCTTCTCCTCCTCCTCCTTCGTCACAATCTCAGAAATCAATAATAACTGAAAAACCATCAACTAAATCTGTATCTATTCCAACTACAGTTCCAACTACAGGTTTTCAATTTAAACGTGATTGGTCAAATTTAAATAATCAACTTGAACAACAAACAATTTATTTTAATAAAATTCCACCAAAATCTTATAAAACAATTTTTTCTACTGGTCTTGATTCATCAGTATTTTCAAAAATTTTACTTCTATGGTCAAATCAAATAAATATTGATGAACATTTAATTGATTCAATGTATGAATTACGTCAAACACCAAGATTTGATACACAATTAAGTTTTCTTGGTAATGATGATAAAAATTTATTAAAAACAATTTTACAAAGATTACAAAATGAATGTTCATCAACAGATAAAATTCAAACTATATTACATGATTATAAAATCGATTGAGATCAAATTTTCAAATGTTTTTCTTTTTGTCTGTTTTTACATATAGAAACAAATAAATATAAACTGTTATTATGTTTCTCATATTGATTTTCATATCAAGAAAGATAATTTGATTCTTTGATTATTATTGAAGTTTAAATTAATTTAATGGAAATTTATGAGTATTTTTTCTTTGTCTGATGAAAATTGATTTAGTCGAATGATTTTAATTCTAAATATCATTGAACAATAAAAAAAAAAAAACAATGCTTCAAATCTTGATTGAAGAGAGAAAGTTTAGATGTAATTATAACAAAAAATAAAAAAGTTGAAAGAAAATCTTTAGTTTCATTTTTCTCTATTCTAAAACAACAAAAATGAATTGTCATAACATTCTCAATTTATAGTTAGTTTTGTAGATAGTTTTTATAATAGTTAAACATTGTGTAATCAAGCATATGAATCATTTGATTTCTCTTATCAGAAATAACAGAGATAAATGAAAAATTTTATCATTCATTTGTATTTGTCTGACAAATAATAACATAGTGACATCATGAGTCAAACTGTTATTAATAGACATGATTTATTGAAAAATTAATTTTTCAATTTGATTTTATTTCTCAAATGTTTTCCTTTGTTGAACAAAGAAAAAAAAAGATTTTAAAAACATATTAAATCAAATAAAAATTCTTTACGTTAATAAAATATAACAATGACTTATTAATTATGAAATAGCTTTACAAAA